TTTGCATACAATATATTCACATTAAGTGATAAACATTGAAATTCCATTCACAATTCTCAGTTACATAAACTTACACAAAAATTGTAGAGGGGTAAACATTCAAATTCCATATATATGGAATAATGTGACAAATTTAACATTCTTTTTAGAAGGATAAAATATGCACAATTCAAAATATAAAGTAACAATCACTGCTAACTGAGAAAGTGAAATATGAAGAGACACCTTTACATGCTTCAAGTAATCTGGAACATCCGATTGATGCATGTATTTCATTCCTTCAGCTGCATAAAACTCAGATGTGCACTCCAGGAAAGGCTTCTCAAAACTTTCCGAGTAAATGCCCAAAGCAGTAAACATCTTCAAAAGATAGTTAAGTAGTGTACATCAATGGAAATCATTTCATCAACCTAAAAAATATGAATTCCCAAAAACTAATTTTTGGTCAGCTTAAAATGCAAGTAAGATCAATAAAACAACATTTTGATGATACAATACACACTTGACAATGTTTACTCAAGGAGCTTCTTTACCTTATGAGATGAAAAGAAAAAAGAAGACCATAAATAGTCAATACTTCCCTTTTTAGAGCAATTACAATTGATATGAGATAAGAAGCAAATAATAGAACATTAACATCTGGACCTAGCCAGTCCTTACAAACCGCACATATGCCATCTTAACTAGTCAAACCACCACCATATTATTCCATCATAAATTAATTAAAACTAGCTGATGATCTTAGCCATAATGTCCAAGGTTAGTTGAACTTTTTTAATTTTCTTTTGTACTATGTTACTATAAAAAAGATAATGTAATTACAATCACCCATACAAAATAAATAACATAACACATCTATCATACATATTTAGATAAAAAAAAAGTTGACCTATTAGTTCAATATCAGGATTGAATGCCACAATAATTTGCTTTATATAGTGAGAAAGAACATTTATGACAATATCCTAGAACTCTAGTTTCATACTCTCACCAATTCAACCAAAAAAAAAACAAGATTCCATTTTCAATCATCTCACAACTTTTCGGCATAAATATCCCATACTTCTACTCCTAAGACAACAGAAAGGGCAGATAGATCATGGAACATTACAACTCAAATGAAAACAGGAGCATTCTAACATGGTAATTAATGGAAATCATTTCATTAACTTCTCAATAGCAGGCCTTTGGTTTGTAGAATACTAGTATGTTCTCTTTATCTACATCCCCACTCAAAACTTATCCAAGCAACTCATAAAATTTTGTTAAAACTAATTTTAACATCATTGATTTAGTGGGAAAAAGCTTGCATCTCATGGGTTAGTAAGCATCAAATAATTGTTATGTTGCCCGAACATGTCATTTTTTTAAAGTACCTGAGTTCTACACTTATGGCTGACACATGTTTGGATATAGGTATGTAAGTATAATCCACCACATATCTACATCATATATATATTTAAATCTAATGCTCACCTCAACATCCAGATTAAGATAGAGCAATAATAGTTTAATACCACAAGCATTAATATTGAACAAATATCCATGAAAATTTAGGTCTTAAATCAACATTAATTGTACATTTCCTCACAAGAAAAAATTGTCAAAATATTGAAAAGGGCTTGTCAAATGCTTACACTTGTTAGGTCTATTTGTGGATCTTCCATGGACTTGTAAAGTGTGCCTTTGAATTCTTGCATCACTCTTTCAACCTCTTCATGAACTTTTTTTAGTATTTTTACCTGACAATAACGAATAATGTTAAGTTTGCCTACTTATGTAGATAAAGAGCAACGGGCCGTGTGAAATTATATTAATTATGGATTATAAATATGGTATTCTTCAACCAATACATAATGTCTTCACAAAAATAGCTCTTCAAAGGCCTCTATATACACAGACTGGAGTACAGAACAATCCTGAACTGAGAATAAGACCACCAAAATCATGTGACACATGCATAAAAAATAAAAATAAAGGGTCCAATGCCTAATGTCAGCCATCAAGGAATCAATGCATATAAATAATGTATAACAAATTACTTTATAGATGCAATGGATTTATGGCTAGAATTTTGACTAAAATCATGCTCAAACATCAAATAATATGTTCACTATATACACTATAACCAAATACCACACCAACCGTGTTCATGCATTTTTATCTTCTACATAACAATTCCAAGCATTCTGCTTACATGGGAGGGGATAGCAATTGATTTTGCCTGTCATAAATACAGTTGTGGAGTCGTGAAGCGATGGATTCAGTCAAATGCTACTTTTAAAATTAATCTCGTAATTGAAGGGAAAATATTTGAATCTGCAAACGTATTTTTTGAATATTCCGGTGAATAAATAACTAAAATAAGCTTAATTATTAAAAGTTCGGTAACGGATAATCCTATAAAATATTACCTGGCACTGCTAATCAACACAATCTTCACCTGCTACCACTTTGATATATCTAAGCAGTTTTCGGCTTCACGACTTTCTTCCTTAGTTGCCTCTTTGTGATAAATCTCTTCATCCCCCATAAGAACAATAATGCACCGCATTGCGCAACAGACTACCATTAATGAAAGAATAAATGAAGTTTGCACGTTGTATTTCATAATGCATAGGGAAACACTTCGAATATGGACATGCAAATACATGTAGAAAATCACTGAGCAGAGCAGCGTAATGGGGCTCTTCAGGTCGATAGTTGTAGAAGTCATAGAGTAGAGGAGTGCTAACTAGCAAATACACAAACTACGGCAAAGGAAAGAACAATTAGACGAGACACGAAAGTATAATCAAACATAACTGCTCGGTGGAATTAACATATAACTTCATAATTCAAACGGAACCAAAATAATCATAATTAAGAAACAAAAATCTCACCAGAGGAAGACTCCAAAGCCATGGCCAAATACAAATAGAATAGCACCGAGTCCTTTCAAAGCAATAGCGGCCGAAACTAATTGTTTAACCTGCGTTTAAGAAAGGTCTCCACAATATGAAAATCATATATCATATTAACATCTAACACGAAATTAATATTCCACAAAAGAAAGAAATTCATCGCAGATGATTAAGAGAGAAAAGGAATATCCTACTTCGATATCCGACAAATACACATAGACCTGCGAAGATATGTGTTTCTTAGCAAGATCAAGCTTTGGTATCAACTCCTTCGTTGCAGGCCCACCGTTGACCCCAAATTCATTGAACCTGCCAACATATCGACTGTCACCGTAACTACGAGACGCCTAGTTGAGCTCTTATGACTGTCTATCTACACTTATCTATATATGTGCAATAACTTGCAACTATATAGCAACAGTGGAGTAAAACTAGCTACCCGACCAATCGCCGAAACTATACCATCCAAACCACGACAGTGACGATGGAATTCGGGTAAAGCATTCAGGAATTCAAGGCATTGAGTCAACTAACATATTAGACAACAACAAGAATCCGTCACTTCACGTCTACCACAACAAAATCATATCCCATGTTTGAGTAGCACAATCATAAATGAATTTGAAAGCAAACCAACACCTGCAGTTAACCAACCTGTCTCTCAAATAGAGGCTCAAAGGCCCATTCTGCATGTGAACATACTCCTTGCATACATTTGTACAAGTGAACTGTCCCTGAACCTTCGGGGTCTTCCTCGATTCGCTTCAGTTTTGACTCGATATCTATGCAAGTACCATCCCCAAATTAGCACTGTTTGCAAACAACTAAAATTCTATGAACTTATATGGCAAAGAGTATGCCAAGAAATTTGTTTTAGCCCATAAGAAAATTGCACTTCCATAGTTAAAGTAGTACCAGAATCAAGTGAAGAGAGGTGTTTTACCATCAATTGTTGTTTTGCATTAAACAAAGCAGTCAAAATTATCTTTAACCAATTGTTTCCTCTACTGATTCCGCCCTTGGAGATCTGTTTTTAGTGTAAGAGCTCCAGCCTCCAAGTCTGCAGCAGGTGTATCTTGGCGTATCCGGGACAGAAACAACTTTGCATCAAAATTTTCAGAGAAATACATCAACTTCTCTGCAAAGTTTCACCAAACAAATTACATAATTCACTGGCATTTCATTTACTGAAAATTACGGGCATTAGAGTTTTAGGTATTAAATTAAAATATTCAAGGGAGAAAAGCAGCTCATTGAGGAATTCAGACAAGTGATACCCATCTAAAATACCTATATATTTTAGATTGCAGATACACAGTTTGTGAGAGTGATGATGTTATTAAAGTCTATTACGAAGTATAATCTGCATAAAACATACGGAAGACAGGAAAAAAATATACCATGGACGTTATTGTCGATATGATCTTTCTCAACGCGACTGCTTTCAGATGAATCATTGACCAACCTGAAGGTCTTGTTGTCTACTATTTTGCCAATCGTACAAAACACAGAGGTCAGAAGAAAAACTTATAGTAGATGAAATTGAGGATCCACTTACTCCAGTTAAGGCTAAAAAAAGACCAGGCAACAATTCATGTAATTACATTAGTACAATAATTAATAATAAAACTAACTTCTCTCACGGTCTTATCTTAATGAGACATAACTAGATTGAATTAGAGTGAATTCCTCTAAACTAAACAAAAAAAATGAATATCAATTAATAAGAAGTTGTTGAGAAGATTTACCCCAGTCCAAGTGGATAAACACACTCCACGCCACGAGGGAACGATTGCAGAGTGTTAAGCACTCTTCCCGCTGGTGTAGTTGCTTTACGCTCAAACTCTGTTCCACCAGAGCTATTCTCGACTCTCTCATCTCGCGAACCCGACAAGCAAGCTGTCAAAGAAGAACTCTTGCATCACTAATCATATCCAATAGCCACATCGATTTTTAAAAATCCATTGAAGGAAAAAAAGTACCTCAGCTTCATCTACACGTTTCCATGTATCAGGCTCTTCTCCATCCCATACTCCATCGTCGTCTTTCATTGGCCTCCCTCCAGGTCTCCCTCTGGCTCCTCCCTTTGGATCTGCAAAAGATAACCAATACATCTACAAAAGTGTTGTTTCCTATCCAGCGTTTTTGTCCCTCGAGTATCCAACCTCCTTCGACCTGAATGTTTAAGATGAAAGCAAAAATGATATAACAAAAAAGTTAGAATTTTGATAAGTGGTTGAAATTAGCTATATTAAACAAATATATGTGAAAACTAAAATGCAAGGTTGTGGATAGACCTTTGTTGTAGTTGTCTTCAGAGAACTCGCATCACTTCCATAGTCAGGCTCAGTCAAAGCCTAAAGATAACATTAAGTTTCTTCAATTATGGCTCAAAAAGACACTAAGGATCAAACAGGAAGATAATGCGGAAAAATAACACCTACCCAACAAGCTACAGTTTTTAACTGGGCCAAACCAAAGAAGGTAAATACTTCTGCTTCTGTTCCTCTGTCCCGCATAATGTTATCATTGATGGTCCATGCGAATGTAGAAGATCGTGATTAGTTGTTTACCTTTTTCTAAAGAAAACCATAACAAAGTGAATCCATAAATTAAAAAAAAATATGGAAAGCCGTTTCACAGATCTCACCAATGGTAAGAATGGCTAGAGATGAACGCACCAAGATAAAAGTTGAGCAACTTGCATCGACCCTAGCAATCTCTGCACTTGCAATAGCACTTGCAGTAAGCGAGAGACCAGGGCATCCATACCCCTGCAAAATCAGTAATAACAAAACATCATACTTAATTTCCATTTCCAAGGAACAAATAAGCTAAAAAACTGAAACCCAAATATGACTAACCTTGATGGTACCACCTGTAATACTAAGAACATCGAGTTTGGGAATAATTTGGAACAGAAACTCCACCTTCTCCCAATACTGAGAGAAAATTGCATATCAGTTGCTAAACATCACAACATTTAATTGTCATCTACCAAACCAAAGTCATCAATCCATGTTGTGAGAAAGGTTCATTATTAGAAAGATACCTCTACCATTATAGGAGGGACAAAAACCCTTATGATCATTGTATCCACTTGGCTGAAGCCCCCGTAGGCTTCTTCGTCATCCATTGACATCTTCGTCCCCGTAGGCAGAGGTCGGTGTTGGTCAAGAAAAGGAAAGTGAATTTAGGGGAGGAGGAGGAGGAGAGGTGGGACGAGGCGGAGGGAGAGATGGTGGCGTGGTGGAAGAGACGGAGATTGTCAAGTTCATCGGAGGCGGAAATGGGCGGCAGAGGCTGGGGATTCAAAATCGGGCCTAACAAGAAGAAGAGAATCGGAATGAAAAGCATGAGAGAAAATGAGAGAATGAAAGGAGTAGAAAACATTAGGCGTGAATTGATTATCGAGGGGGGAAGAAGCGGGAAAGGATGAAAATAATAGGGGAAATTAAAAGAAGACTTTTACAGATGACACATAATTAAAAAGTGTACTCCATGTTTTTGCAAATTTTTTGAATTATGACTATTAAATATGACACACATTATTGTAAGTCATAAATCGTTCAGATTTTAAAAAACATGACATATTTTATGACACACATTTTTTGCAAGTCATAAATTAGTGTGTGTCATCGTTCGTGTGTAATTAAATGTATATTTTCTTGTAGCGTACTATATTAGTTTAGTATTTTTGCACAATAATCTATCATATATACTTCTAATGTTCTTTAAATTTCAAAAAAAAAATCAATTCATAATCCCCTATTTTGATTTTTTATATATACATATAATTTTATATTCATTATACCCACTGTAATATATATTGTCCAATTTACGCTCATATATTTATACACGCACTATTCAAGAATATATATTTTGTTTCTAATATTTTTTTATTGTCATCTATCTATCTATCTATATATTGTACCCGCTAAATATAGGGATATGATCCCCTTACACAATATAAAACTCTTTTAGTTTTACATAGATTTAGAAGCGTTAGATGAGTAAAAACATATGACATATTAAAAATAGGAAATTTGAAGATATTTACTGAGAAAAAAAAAGATTCAATTCTAGTCATTTGTTTTCACTTATCCAACGATCTTAAATCTGTTAAAACTAAAGAGTTTTACATTGTGTAAGTGGATCTTAACCCATATATATTACTATAGATGCTTCAGCTTCAGATATTGATTTTGGTCTAGAGCTTATAGAGATCGCTAATGAGAAAGACCATGTAGGCACCAGATTAGAAATTGGTAGGATTGCGGGTGTCTTAGACTACCTTAAGCGATTCTTATACCTGATTATCTCTTGGTGGTTTCAACTATCCGGAAGTAAATATTCTTCCCTTCGTACTATTGATATATGGTGGCCTTACTGTTTTTGACACAATAAAAGGATAAACTTTATGTAACACCCTTAACCCGTTTACGTACCCAAATACGAGTCAAATATGTCACATAGCTTTTACATACATTTTATAGTTGAAAACCTAGTACAAATTTGAACTTTTAAAATTTAACCCATTTAATCCTTTCAATAAATTCAAACATTCGAATCAATATTAGTTTTATGCAGCAACTAGACAGTTCTATATTATTTCATATCATAAAGTAAACTGCCTACAAACTATCTAATTTAAAATATTTCTTTATTCTAATTACAAATATATATTTTTTTATCTAAAACATAAAACTTAAATTCATTTTTATAACCCTAATAACATATCTTAGACATTTCTTATTTGTATACATGCCATCTAGAAAATTTAAAAATAGTAGGATGTCATTACTGATATATGTAATTAGTCTTTGTTGATTGATACCAAACTCAACTCCTTACTTCACTTGCTCTTCTTTACCTACGCATAAAAATCATCACACGCTAAGAATACACTTAGTGAGCCATTATAAACAAACTAAAGTGATGTAAAATATTAGACAACTTAACAACATTAAAACAATATATATCCTTATAAAAAACATAAAATACATTAACAATTTAAAACGTTAAACTTAATTCAAATAAAATCATAAATATCCAAACTGATTTATTCAAACAATTTTTCTTCATCATGAACCTGAAAAACATACATCATCTCATGATTTTTTTCAAAACCATGATAAATATTATCATACATAATAATCATATCATATTCCTTTTCATTCTTATATATTTCAGAACTTTCATATTTCGTTTTCATCTTTCACATTCACATTCGTTTTCACATTTCATTTTCATAACCAATACATTCACATTTCCGAATTCATTATTGATTTAGAACTTATTTCCAAACTCATAACCTATTTTCATATTCATAGCTTAATTTCAAATTCATAGCCCAATGCATATTTATGATAATGCAAGGTACGTGAGCTAAATCATCATCATAGGATGCACTCAAAGTGTAAATCATATCACATGCACCAATGGTGCCATACATAATGTACACGAATGTACCATAACTTATTTGAACTTTACTCAACTTCCTGGCATGCCAAGTGTACCTACGACTCTCAATGCACATACAATGGGCTTTTCCATTAATTATTATATGTTATTGAATAATCAAAGATATCAACATATCTAACTTTTCATATCATAACATAATTGGCAGTTCATACACTAAACATTTCATTTCCATATAACATTTATATATCATGATCATCGTCAATTACCTTTCTTTAACATATACACATCATATTCATCATGTAATAAATACCATAATTATCATCCCAATTATAATAAAGTTGACTCATTTCGAAAATTTATAACAGCATATAACATAAGAGTAACATGAAAACACAATTTATGACAAAACTTTATATGTTGGCAGTTTTCACTACCTTCAAAGAAATATTATTCTATATTAATATATATACTTAAAAATTATTATGTTTGTACCAATAGAAACTAGACTTGAACACAAATCTAACCCTATAAGAAATTTTTTATAGTTCAACTTGTATAATTTATAATAAATTTTCAAATCTGACTTATAGAAGCTGTTTTGAACAGAATCTGATGCCCTATTTTCTGACATATCATTGGTTAAAAATTCATTTCTTTTTGTATACTTCTCAGAATCAGTACCCATTTATTTTCAATAAAACTATACGGATATAAAAATCCAGTGGTGTAAAAATAATTTTTTAATCAATTCTATAGAATTTATGGTGATTTTCTAAACTTACTGTTCAAGTCATAAGTATAGGCAGATTTTACTAGTTTGCTTCCTTAACTTATTCACTAATTCTACCAACTTACCACGTGAACATATATACATGAATCACAAAGTCACCCAATATTAGGAGTCACTTCTTACTATAGTAACTATGTCACTGTTTTATCAAAAAAAACTATGTCATTGGCTCATCGCAAGCCAATGTTTGCATGATGACATAAATACAAATTAAATATGCACTCACTTGGTGTCCTTAGCTTGCAAACTTTCCTTAGAAATTCACATTCATCCTTAAGCTTCTCCTTAGCTTTTATATTACTTGATCTTGATTTCAATCATAATCTAAATGGACATTATTATAAGACATATACATTTCAAACCACATGTTAGAATCTCACTAACATAGACACACATTAGAAAATATATTCCTAAAAATCTTTCAATGGTCATGCGATACTAATTCCATGTCGCAACATAAATGTTGACCTTAACACTTCAAGTTAACCATTGAAGTCCCTTTTTTTTTCCAAATTCACCCAAACTTCACATAACATTTTCAACTTTACATAATAACTACCATTTATGAATTCTTTTAGAATTCATCTCAACTTTCCCATTTTATTCTAAATAGCCCTTTGCCCTTGAACTTCAATTCAAGTCTTAAACAATTTAATTAAATTTCCAGCATCTAATTTCCAGCCCAATACCTCAACAATTCCACTATTACCACTTAAGTCACTAACTTTCTTAATATTTGCCATTTAGTACTCGAACTTTGTCAACTTCCCAAAATAGTCCAATTTCACATTCTAACATTAATTTTCAGCTTAGTACAATATCTAGTGAACAATTTCACTTTATCCCCATAACTTTTCAAAATTGTTGAATAGGTCCCCTAATTTCATAAAATTACAAATTGGTCCAAATAACTTTCTAAAGCTTGTAGAACCTTTCAAACATCATTTCCAAGCATAGGGAAATTTTTCATAATTTTTCACCAATTATTTCCTTGAGGTTGAATATTCTAGGGTTTAGGGTTCTTGATTTTCACTTGATTCAAGCATGGATTTTATCTCTAATCAACATTTCAAGGTTTCTACAATTAAAGCCCTATCATAATTTAACCAAATCACAAACTACCCAAAACCCTAGGTCATGGCCAAACATCATATAGACTTCTACACATAATTTTAATCATCACACATGCTTTAGAATAAATCTACAACATCAATAACAAAATAATCTTCAAAAGCAAACATGTCCTTAATAAACTCTAATCTCCAATCTCATCATATAAGCATGATTTGCATGTAATTTTTAGACC